GCTAGATTATAAAACCACCTGAAGACTTTGAACATCACTTTGTAAGCAATAGAAATTCATATTTTAAAAATGCCTAAAGGAGAGCTCATTGATCAGATTTGTAGTGCAGCAAGTGTTCTAACTGCAGTGTGCAGAATCAGAGTTCAGAGATTAGTAGGCTAGTTAAGAGAACATTAAAGTACCTTGAGTCTAGCTTTTCTTAACATCCTGAATATTTATTAGTGGAGCCAAAGACTTTTAATTGTTTTCCTAACTTTCAGTTCTAGAGAAGAAGGAAAAGCAGACCTAGGAGAAATAAAAATATAAATGAATTTTAATAAATAAACAAAAGCCCTGGAACAATTAGAAAAATCACAGGTTCAGATAATGCATTCTTCCTCTGGTGTTCACACAGTGAATAAATTTATCAGCAATCATAATTCATTTCAAATTAAGTGGGAAAGTGTTTCCTCTAATCACTTATCATTGTTTAGGCCTAAGGTTTATTTGCTTTTGCCTTATACATTTTGTACAGCCTAGGAGTTGAACAAGAGGTTTACGCATTTTGATTAGTTAAATCTAGTTTCACGTTATTCATAGTTACTTTTATAGGCAAAATCATAGTTTTAGAACCTATGAAAAAGGGCTCCTGGATTTGCCTACATATTGGACTTAATAAGAAATAAATGGACTTTGTGCTATTTAAAAGAATAGGTTTAATAAAGAAGCAAAAGAAAAATTTTAAAGATAAAATAAATATTTGCACAGGTGCAGAGCAAAATTCATGGTACGATCTGATAAGTCACCAAAACTGATAGTGAGAAGATTTCCACAAAATCATTAGGGCGCGAGTGTGAAAAGCAGGTGGTCGACAAACATTTACTATGGAAATGTGTGTTAGCCTCTGGGAGGCAGTCCTCTCTTTCGGTTACCTGAGGTAGGATACCATTTACAGAAGAAGGCGGAGCTCACCCTGCTTTAGACACGATCAGCCACTGTATCTCATTGCTCAGTTTGGAAAATGGATATGCTATTCAATGTCATAATGCTATCTTATCAATGAAATACCTTAGCGTTGAAAGATTTCAGGAAGTGCCCTACTATTTTGTGACAGAGGTGTGTCATAAAGGCAGATTTAACCACTTTATTTTGCTAACAAATTAGAAGAGATGTAGGGACATTTAGGGATCATTTTTTTGTCATTAGTAAGATTTTAGACATCAACAATTTGCTTCATGTAAGTATTTTTTATGCATTTCATGTGTAAATGAGTACAATAATACCTGCCTTACAAAGTTTTGGAATGGGAACTCATAGATTTTAAAGAGTCTGGCATATTTGATATGCCTGATGGATGGTATGATAATTTTGTTCTGATAATAGCAATGACAATAAATGCTTAACTTCCTTAAAATGTCTTTAATTAATTTCCAATTCAAGTAATAATCAAAATATATCTCTTTGAGTACAGACATTGAAGAATATGACACACAGTGCCATTCTTGTTCTTTTACCCATAACCTTATTCATCTTATTAAAGTCATTCACTTGTTCAAGAAAACTTCAATCTTTTGACCAGGTGTTTGAAAGCATCCTTGACTTGTTTGTTTCTCAGGGTATAGATGAAGGGATTTAACATGGGGGCAACAGAAGTACTAAGCAGAGCGATCCCTTTATTTAGAGACACCCTTTCCTTTGTAGAGGGTTTCACATACATGAAGATACAGCTGCCATAAGAAATGGAGACCACCACCATGTGTGATGAGCAAGTAGAGAAAGCCTTCTTCCTTTGTTGCGCCGAAGGTATTTTCAAAATAGTCTTGATAATGTTTGCATAGGAGAGAATCACTAACACCAGTGTAACCACAAGTGTCAAGATGGCCGAAAGAAGTGTCATTAAATCTATGACATACGTGTCTGTGCAAGAGAGCTGCAATATCGGAGAAACATCACAGAAGAAATGATCTACAGTGTTCTCTGCACAAAAGTCAAGCTGGAGACCCATAAGAAGAGGTGGGAAAATGATTAGGAAACCAGATAACCATGAAGCAAAGATCAGCAGGTTGCAGACTCTGCTGCTCATGATGGTCATGTAATGCAGGGGTTTGCAGATGGCCACGTAGCGGTCATAAGACATAGCAGCTAGGAGGAAGAATTCTGTTGCCCCCAAAAGAATAGTAAAAAACAGCTGTGCTGCACAATTGTTATAAGAAATGGTTTTATTCCCTGAAGCTATGCTAAATAGAAATTTAGGGATACAGACAGTTGTAAAAGATATTTCTAAAAATGAGAAATTCCGAAGAAAGAAATACATGGGTGTCTTGAGATGTGAATCCAGTAAAGTGATGGTGATGATGGTTAGGTTTCCAATGACGCTCAACACGTAGGTGAAAAAAAGAAGAAGAAAAATGATCACCTGTAATTGAGGATCATCTGTCAGCCCGAGAAGAATAAAAGTCGTTACAGGTGTATGGTTTCTCATAGCTGACAGCTAGTTTAAAATAAGAATTAAATTAAAAAGGAAAAGTAAGAACTAAAGCATAATAGAATGGCGGCATAAGTTACC